TGCTAACATAGTGGAAGCCAACCGATACTATAGACTTTATTTACCTTAAAATAAGAAAACTGCATTTTCCAAGAATTAAGCAAGCGTAAACTGAAATATTTGAGCTGACTTCTGCTATTTATTTCTTTCTGTTAAAGGTGCAGTAGAGAGGGAAAGTTTCCATTTTCCCATAAGAGACAAATTTTGGAAGCCTTTAACTGTTCACTAAAAAGTCAGCTATGTGTGCCCTCTTCTAGTGCTCTGCCAAAATATACTTACAGCAACCTCCCCCTTTTCTTCCACATGGAATCACATTAGAAAACTGTTATTTGATGCCATAAAATAATGTGAATCAGTCTGTTATGTGTTCACTTGATTAAATGGAATACATTTTATTGCTGCATTTGCATGCTTTTCTTTGAAATCTGGAGTCAAGCATCTGAATCTCTTTGAGGATGAAGCACATTTTAGTGGTGTCTGTATAAATTATTGGCAAATTAGCAGAACATCATTTTCTCAGCTTTGACAGTGCTTGCTAGGGGGGAAATGCACAAAGAATCTGTTCTGGCTTGGCTCTGATTGTGTTAGTTGGTGTTTGTAATATGGAATACAATTGATTAAGGTTTGGGAAAACTATGTCTTAGAGCCACAGAGGGAAATCACTGAGTAGCTTCAATGATCTATAATCTTTGTTCAAAGAAAGGATTTTACTATTTGCTTTTGAAAAATAGGTTCTGGGATTCTTTCATAGTAGAGGGGAAAGTTTGCAGGTTTTGTCCTTCCAGAGTGAGTAGTACCTGTAAAATCAAGGTACTTAATTGTAATCAGAGAGCAGCAGGTGTCACCATTTAGGAGCCAGTGGTTGTTGACTCTTCTCCATCAGTGACCAGCACAGATGCTTCAATGTAAGTGTAGAAGCAGCTACAATTCATGCTGTCACACCAGTGGGGATTTCCTCCTCAGCAAGGAATGCTGCTGGTTGGTCCATATCATGAAGCAGGGAGGACTTAAATAGCTATTCTAGATAATATTTGACAACTTCTCTGGGAAGCATGTTCCAGTCCCTCACCACCCTCAGCGTGTTTTCTCCTAGCATGTAATCTAAATATCCCGTGTTTTGGTTTAAAACCATTCACTCTTCTTCTGTTACTGTCTGCCCATATAAAAAATAGCTATTTTATAAGCCCCTCTTAGGCAATGGAAGGCTGCAATGAGGTGTCCCCAGAGCCTTCTCTTCTTAGTGATAACCTCAAGAGAACTCTTGTGAAGTTCTGCTTATCTTTGGTGGTGTTCTCTGTCAGACTTTCCCCTTGTCTGCTCCATTCACTGAATTCCCTTGTTTTTATTTCTTGTCGAAGACTTGGGAACTGTGCTGCTTTGGTAAGATGTGAGGGGAGAGGAGTAGAAATAAAAGGAAATCAGCTCATCTAGAATATGCAGTGTGTGTCACAGTGTACAGTGACATCCCCAGTCACCTGGCTGAATGTGCCCAAACTGAATTCATGCAGCAGGAACAGGGGAGACACAAGAATAGAGGTGATCATAGGCTGCCATTGTGTTCTGGTTGTTCTCTGGATCTGTAGAGTAGAAGCTCATCAGGAAGAATTCTCTAAGGTCCGTGTACTGTGAGGCTGCTGCTGTAACAACACCTAAAAGCCACAGCAGGGTTTTATGATGTGTATTTGCTACCCCGTCCTTTTCCTCTTGCAGAATGAGCCCAGCCTGATCCTGGCCTTTTCTTCTTGCAGTAAGAAAGCTGAGTTTTGCCTGTGCTTGTGTTGCTGAGAAGCTTTGAGGTGGCTCTGGATGAACAGCTTCTGCCCTTTGTCTTGCAGACTGCAGGCATTAGTGATAGGCAATGGCACCATGGAGATCAGACTGTATGTGGTGATGAGTTAAGGGTTTGGTCTCCCTTACTCTAATTGTACTAATTGGGTGAAAGAGTACAGTGGAAGTCTTAACCAGTGCAATTTCTGGGTGTGGTCAGGGTATTTTGGACATATTTTTTCAGATTTTTGGAATTTGTTCCATTCTATATTTTAAATAGCTTTTGATTTTTCAATTTGAAAAGACAATTCATTTTTAAATTGGTCTGGCTATGAGTGAAACCATCTGTGTTCATTTAATTAAGGAAAAACAATTGCTTGAAGAAAAAATAAAATATTTTTGTTTTCCACAGTAGACTTTGGCCTTGCTTTCAAAATTCATTGAAGATTTAAAAACCAAAGAACTCTTCTAGAAAACCCAAACCACCAAAAACCACACCCAAACCCATGAACAAAGACAAAAAAATCCCTCAAACCTTGTTTATTTTAGATTGGCTTGCAGTAAACTTTTTGAGTCTTATTTTTCTATTCTGCTAATAAATAAAAAGTGATCAGTTTTTCACAAACCTTTCTGCAATTGTGATTTTTATCAGAGGGCTGAGGTACTTGGAACTTATGACTTCTGAGTAAAAAACTAAAGTTTTCTTCGGCCTCCAGTTAGGTATTGTAGATTCTGGGTTAAGCCTTGCTCTCATTCACAACACTTCTTCTGATTTCAGCATTTTACTCCCTGGTGTGCAGGGCTCAGAGCAGTGTGATTACTCTCAAGGCTCACAGTCAGGGTGCTTGGGAGGTGAATTGCTGAAATCTTTAAATATGATGGGAAAATAAAGATACTGGAAAAGGTTTGCACTCTAAATTCAAGTTTTACGTAAATGGGTACAAAAACTATAAACTGTTATAAATAGAGAAACTAAAATAGTGATGTGAGACAACAGGAAAAAAAAAAATTAAAATTCCCTTTTTTTAAAAGGTTTTATGCCCGTATGGTGTGAAAAGCCTCTGCTTTGTCATTTTCCTTTTCTGTCCTGCTGTGTTTTGAAACTGGATTACTTCGTCAGGCAATAACAAACAATCTGCATCTGTGGACATCCAATGGAAAGTAGTGAAAGGGTTTCAAGACAAAACCAAATAAAGTACAAGAATGTCAGAAACATTCAGTAAGGATGGAGGTCCAGAGCTCTGCATGTTTTGGTTGTTGGGTTTTTTTGCATGAAAACCCCACATGCAAGTGGCTTTCAAGCCAAATAAGTATTCAGAGCAGGTGTTCAGACACAGACACTGGGTCATTTTCTTAATAGTGCTATCAAAATGAATGAAAAGTCCAGCACAGTGAGATCCTCACCTGCTATAAATTAACTTCAGTAATGTCAGTTTTGATTCTGGGGCTGGAATTCATCTGACACAATGCCTTAATTTTCAGTGCAAACTGTGTGATCTGAGCAAGCTCTGCTCGCCTTTATTTGGAGAGTTTCATCCCTGCCTGAAGTGTCTGCCCGAGAGAAACCAGGGGAATTATGCCTACTTCCTTCCACTGAGTACAAAGGGAGAGGGGCTGGCAATCTCAGATGTAGCCATTTACTTAGTTCTTGTAAACAGTGAGTGTTAGATGAGGTGCATTTGACCCTGATTGTGGCTTTCCATAAAAATTGAGAAGAAACTCTCATTGGCCTGGACATTTTTAAGAGCTCCATAAAGATGAGATGTCAGAATTGTGGTCAGATATTCTGACTTTTTGTCACATGTGACCAGCCTCTTAGTCTGCAAAAGAGCACACCAAAGTCAAATGAAGGTAGCTGCCCAGCCTGAGGTGCTTTAAGAGGTCTGGATTGGAAAGGAAGACTCTCAGCTTTTCAAAACTTGACCTTGGGCCCTGCATCAAGGTGAGAAACAAGCCTGAAACATCAGGCATGCCAGAGGTTGTGGAGAGGAAGAAGCTGAATGCAGAGCTCTGCAGGTAGGGTGGGCTGATCTGTGCCCATTCTGGGGAAAGTCACAGGGATTCCTGTTCTGGACAGCCCCGTGATGCTGCGGCTGAAATGGCTGCCTCTGTCATGGAAGTGTTGACATCAAGTGGTCTTTGTTGGTGGACATGTGGATGTTTAGAAAATACAAGCATCCATCTATAAGTAGGATAGTTATATTTAAGAACCTGCATCTTTAATTTTTGCTTTCCAAATAACAGCTACTTCCTTTGCCAGCTCAGCCCTAAAGGACTTGCAGCTTTCCAGAAATGTGTGGAAACATCTGTAAGTGCAGGAGAACTGGGCTCCGGAGAACATGTACATCCCACACTATGGTGTCTGACTTTCAAGCCTTGCTGGTGTTGCCTTTGAAGTCAATGAGAATTTTGCTATTGACCTCAGCTGGAATGAGATCAATGGGAACAAGCCCTTAGGTAAATATGCTCAGACACATTAATCAAAGGTGTGTTTGTTTCCTTAATGTCTTTTTAGACCTGGCAGAAGAGAGGATTTCAGATTGTTTCAATAGAGTGAGGGCAGCTTTAAGAGTGCAGTTTCAAAAGGCAGACTTTTAAGGTATTTTGCAATTGTCTAAGTAGGTGGTATGTATGTCTTGAAGCATTTGGTTTGAACGCAAAGGTCACCCCAGAGACGTGTGTAAATGTCTCCTACATTTCTCTTTTTTGACTTTCTGGTCTCTGTGGTGCTCCAATTACCTTTCACAGCACTGTTGATGCAGACAAGCTGAACCAGCTTTGTTTTGGCTGGAGATATTAAACAGTCTTAGCTAATTTTCTGACAGATTTTCTTCCAGCCTAATCTAAATTATCTTTGTTTTTATATGCTACCAATCTATTCTGTGCATGACAGCATTTAGTCGTGCCAAATGAGTGAACCGGGAGTCAAAAATTTTTTGCTAGTATCTCATTAAGATGAAATTAGACATTTTCACTTTTGAAAATTACCCTCTATTTTAATAACAGAAAATGAAATTGAAGAGCTTTAGTAATGTGGGAGTTTTTTAAGAAGAGGGAATTTCTATGTGACTTTGAAAAAGCATTAATCATAAGCATATATATTGTGGCATAGATTTTATAATGCAGACACCCACCAACACACAAATACTTGTGTACACATATTCCAGAATTTTTATCCTTTTTACCTAACTTCCTCTCTAGAAAAATGTAATGACCTTGAAAGAGTAAGAAACAAAAATGAAACCATGCTGAAAAACTTTTATCGTTTTATTATTGGTGCCTTTACATTAATACTGCTGTTTTGTGCTGAGAAAACCAATCTGTTACACGTAAGGTAACTGTAATATACAACATAGAAATGCAGTCTAAGTTAATTACAACAAGGAGCTACAAAAAAAATTCGTAGGAAAGGAGTCACCTAACATTGCAACTGTGCTTGCAACAATCACTTCCTTACTGCAGGACTATGCACATTGTGAACCATGGTTATTTACAGGTCCCTTACAACTGTTAACATCAGAAGGGCTAAAATCAGTCTAAAAAGTTCCAGAACGTCACTATATACTGTACAATCCTCAAAAATAATTTATTACACTGTTTCTAAAAAAAGGTACTAATTTTGCTTGGATGTCTTTTGTTTTCTGGTGTTCTCTGGAGTGCACAACATGTGCAAAATTTTGCCTAACAGTCTAAAAACTCAAGAACTGAACCACGAGCCACAATCACAGAGACGAAGTGGTGGAGTCCAGAACTTCCCTCCCATTGCACACGGTTGGCACGTACATACTGGCAGATGCTGGAAGAGAAAGAGAGGGGAAAATCAGCTGACTTCAGCACAGCAAAAAGGGGCAACACACAGGATTAGAATTTGTTCTGGTCTGGACCATCTCACCCCATTTAACCGAGGTGCCTAATGAAAAGTCGCTGCCTGTGTCAGCAGCAGAGCTGATGGAGGTGCTGCTTGCACTCTACTTGGCACCTCAGACCTCAGGCTGAAGCACCTCTGAAGAAACCTGATTGACTTTGCTGCCCACTGGGAGCCCAGAGGGTGATTACACTTCTCCAAGAAGTGTCAGAATAAAATACATGGGGTTTTTTTCCCCCCGATGATTCTGTGCCACTGGGTCTCACTTTGTAGCACTTTGCATGGTAGTGTGAATTAATACAGCTATAATGGTATCAAAATACCTCAGTAGAAAAAAGTGAACCTTTGGATTTTTTGTGTTTTTTTGGCAAGAAATACTAAGGTCTGATCCTTTGAGCTTTCACATAATTGGAGCAGACATTAATGAAGAAAATATATGTAGTTTTAAATCCGGGAGATAATCTACCATATTAGAATGCTGTGTCAATCACCTTTTAATTAATAGAAATAAGAATTCTAAGAACATACGGGGTGAAGTGAAAAAAAATTTTTAATAACTGAATTTAAAAGCAAGATTATTTCTCACCTAATCCCAGAATGATTTCTAACTATAATACACTTCACTTCTAGGAGCTCTGGATCAGGATTCACTATGCATCCCGAGGTGAGGACCAGATTCTGATAAACTTGTTTACATTTTATACATCAGTTTTTCATTGCTTTAGTGGTATTAAGTGACAATTAAATCTGAGTATAACAATCTGTTTCCAAATGTATTTGTATTTTGAGCAGAGAATATATTACCCTATTCTGCTTAAGTCTTGTGGATTTTAATTTAAACGCAAATTGTTTTGCCCATCTTTTTAAAAATTATCCATTGGGCATCAGGAATGTGTTTCCAGATACTCTGTGACATCTCTGCTCAGGGCACCATAAAGCTGCTTTTTGAAAGATACATTAGGTTAATGGTAACAGTGACCCAGAGAAATGTGATGCCTTCATCAAAGAAAACACATGGCAAGCAATGACTTAGTAAACTCAATCATCCAGTGTAAAAAGCAATTTATGCAGCTGACAAGGGCATGCTCAATCTTCCACATCTGCTGCTGGCTGCACTCTCAGTTGCACACTGGTTTTGTAAAGATGCTCAGTATAATTTTTAGAAAAAAATATTCTTTCTTCAAATCAGCTGGTATTTTTCATTCTTTCATTGATTGAATAAATATTTCATGGAAAACAGAATTGCTTTAACAAAAGATATTTAGAGGCATCTACTAATAACTAATTAAGAGGACTAACCTACTACTCAGAGTGCAGGACATCTTCTTGAAACAGGAGACCCAAGAATGAGCCCCTCTTCTGGATTAGGTCAATGGAATTTGATCTCTCACAACATGGATGTGTGTTATGAGTCACAGGTGTGGAAGAACTGTTATATGTAAAAGACCACAGGGCATCATGTCTGAGATTTCTAAAAATCAATTTGTATTTTGTATTCTGGTTTTATATTCTGTTTTTAACTGGGTATAACATGGCAGCACAATGACTCAAACTGTTTTTTAATTGTTATTTTTATTTTCTATTTTTTGTTAGAAAAATCAGTTCTGCTCAGGAAACCTGATTCAAATCCCTGTTCTACTGCAGTTTGGCTACAGGCAAAAGCATTTTGTTTTCATGAACATCAGTCACTTAACCAGAATTTTTTTAGCTTCAGGCTTTTTTTTTTTTTTTTTTTTTAAGTCCAACACACTGAAAAGTATGAATAGCTCAAATACTATGGTAACTGGGTCAGGAGGATATCAAAATTGGACAGAAATATATGGTGGTAGGCGAGAAATGAGTGGCCTTGCCTTTTAAGTTTCCATGCTTCCTGCACAGCATGTAGCTCTCTTGCAGTGCTGGGATGCAGTTATTAACTCTGCTGGGTGGAGTAAAGTGTTCACACTGAGCATCCAGCTCTCCTGAGACAGAACAAAAGACCTTGCTTTCCATTACAGACCTCAGCAGTGTTAATCACTGGCCCTGCAGGGTTCTGCGCTACACTCCGTGTCTGATAGCAGCCACCAAGGGCTTTCCTGGAATACTGCTGGATATGCAAGGGACACTTCACCTTCATTCTATGTTGAGACCAAGGAAAAAAGTGTGACATCAGCAGAAGTTGTGATTTGGCTCAAGTTCATGCTTTTGATCTCCCTCTTCCTGGCTGTCCCTCATTTTGCTTAGATAATCCAAGGAAAAGAACCAGAGGTACAATGCAAGAGCCCAGCACTGCCATGGTGACCTTGAAGCTTTGCCAACACAGCCAAGAACAGGCAGATCTGAGTTTGCTGTCTGTGTGCCACTTAGAGTCATAGAACTAGAGAATATCCTGTCTTGGAAGGGACCCACAAGGGTCACTGAATCCAATTCCCCTCTGTGCGCTGGGCAGCCCTGAGAGCAGTGTCACGTGCCTGAGAGCATTGTCTCCTCTACTCATGCTCACAGCTGGACAACTGTGAGTTAATCTCTATATGCCAGGGCTAGTTTGGAGCCAGGCCCAGGAAAACAAATTCAGAGGAAAAAAAAAGTGCCAGTCTGGCTATAAACAGTAGGCTCAATTCTCCTTGTGACCCCTGTGCAGACCACCTTGAGAAGTTCAGTTCTGTGGGCAGCTCCCCATGTGGACTTAGAGAAATGACATCTGGGTGTAAAAGCTTGGTCTGAATCATGAAGGTGCTTATGAATTCAGGAAGGTGAGTTCTCCGTGAGGTTTTATGGGTGTTGAAGCCCATAAAAGAGGAAAAAAGGGGAACATCCCAATGAGGGAGGCACTGCTGGGGCAGAAGAACTTATGCAGCACGCTGCCAAATGGGAATTTTCAGAACCAAAACAATGTGTACAAATATATGCATTTCAAAACATGTCATATACCCAAGCACACTCTTATCCTGCCTCTATTTGACTTAAATCTATATTCTTTTTTTAGATCACATTTCAGCTATCAAAACGATCAAAGCTCAACACTAACACTTAGACTACCCAAAAGCACCATGAGAGTCACCTTTTCTCAGAGTGACCAGTTTTCATGGTTCAGGAAGCTGTGTTAAAAACTGTCTGTGTCTCACTTGCTGTTCAGGAGCCACTATGCTCATGGCATTCATGATCAATGGAGTGAAGTCGTGGTGGCAGCCCTGAGATGCAATGGAGGTGGGAATCTGTGGAGATGGGAAAAGCACTGACCTCTAGAGCTCTGATAATGTTTAAGAGATGGCTTTTCAAAGTTACTAGAATGCCCTAGAGCTAATTCTGATGAGTTTGATATTAAAAAGTTTCTGAATGATGAAAAATGCCATCAAGACCAAAGTAAAAACAAGCTGACAGCCCCAGGAGTGATGAAAGGAATATTTCAGACAAAGATTAAAACCAATTTGGATGGCAACCTTTTCGGAATTTTATAAAGGACTAAACAGTTATAGAGTAATAATGGAAATTTATTTTAAATAATTTTAAATTAATGGAAGGGAGTAAGGGAAGATTTTTCATCTTGAAAATATTGTCACTGTGATAGACAGTGTTATTTTCCCAAATAATTGTCCTAGATAGAAACTATAGGGCTGTTTTCTTTGTGTGTGATGGACCTTTTAGCCCTACTTCCATGTCTTTCCGTGATCTAAAAAGCCCAACAAGGTAAGCAGCCCTGATTCAATTAGGTGAAAGCGGTAAAAGTAAATAACTGCAGCAACCTTTCTAAACAATGAAGTTTAAGAGATTGTAAGTCTGGATTTTTATGCTTTTCTTAATGTCCTCAAGATGTTTGCAAGCCTGAAAATGCAGGTTTTAATGTGAAGATGTGCACTGAGGATCTCTCTCAATTGCATGCATGCTTACACACACATATGTTATTCAGCCATTAAAATGAAAGTATCAAATTCCAAAATGCAATCCAGAATCCAGTAGAAAGTATTTATGAATCAAAATTATTTCTGACTAAGCTCATTCCATAGCATAAGAGTGTTAAAAAACTTGGAAAGATCACTTACACAAAATTGCTAAGGAATGAAAAGAATCTTAATGGGACTTATCATTTCACCAAGGGACCACACTCCTAAGAGTTTTTGGGAAATGATTGGTCTTTTGGGAGTGTTCAGCACTTCAGGCACATAGTGCCATCTCATTACATTTTCCAAAATAGCAATGAGTGTTTGCTCTCTGGTGTCAGGACCGGATGCAGTCCTGGCTGATGACACTGGGGACCTATAGAGCCAGATGGCTGATCTCTTTTTAGGGGACCCTGGGAATTCTTGCAGTGTGTTTTGGGATGGCAGAGCCAGGAATGGCTGGGATCCCTTCACTTCCTAATCCTGTTAATGTGGTACATACCAGGGTGCCAAGTGGCTTCCATGCTGTCTGAAATCTGAAGTGCCCAAGCTTTTGAGACAATTTTGAAATTTAAGTGACACTCAAAAACCTCAGGCTTGGTTATTGTGAACTTGCTGGAAAAGCCTTGCTCTGTGTCCTCCCCTTTCCTCTGTTTCTTATTCCCTTCCTCTTTATAGTTGTGTGGTTTTTCAATTAGATTTCCAGGGTGGACATGCTGTTCAGAGAGCTCTGTGAATGGGGTGCTGTGTGCTCCCATCTTTGATGAGTTAAGTTAGTTAAGCTAGAAAAAAAAAAAAAAATCCCAAACAAATATACAGGTGACCTTTTTTTTTTCTTTTGTAATCCATAAAACTCTGGGAGCAACTCACCCAGAAAAGCAGTGGCAGCCTCAAAACAAAATCACAGCTGTGAACCTGCTTCTGATGAAGAGAGTGAAGATGAAGGAAAGAAAGGAATCAGAGCAAATGAGTTGTCCTTGCAACAGAACACTGATTGCTTCTCCAGGCTGTGGCACTGACAAAGGCCATTGATCATGCTCTGCATACAGATGCACTTTATGGCATCTCTTGGATGCATTTTCTGCAGACTTGGAACCTTTCCTTATAATGCAGGTGATGAGCCATTGAGAGCACGCTGCGCTGTGGCCCAGATCCTGTCAGCCTGCTGCTCTGACAGGAATTCTCCAAGGCAATCTGCTCCTGTCACACTGCCAGAGAGACAGTGGGACATGGGGTCTGCTCGGTATGATAGTAAAAGATTTTAAAATCATAGAAAACTTGGGGTGTTAGAAAGAAAGTTAGGCTTGGTGCGCCCTGGGAAAATGTTAAGGTAGGCCCTGGGAAATGTTAGGCCTTGTGCTTGTTAGATCATGTGAAATTGCATCTGTGTAGTCAGTATATGATAAATTATATAATTGTTAGTTATGATTAGATATAATTATTGTTTAAAGAATCATGAGAAACTATGTTAGGGGTTTGAGGGGGATCACAAGAAATCCATGCTTGGATGAAATCAATGCATACAATAGAACAATCTACATTTAATAATTAATATGTAAGTTATATAACAATAGAATATAAAACATGTTCAGCTCCAAAGCATGTCGGGTCAGATTTGGGTCTGTATACCCCTGAGACCCAGAGCTCTTTAATAAAAGCACCTGCATATAATCATTCTGTGACGATGTGTCCCTGAATGCTAACAGGTACGTGCATCAGGCTGGAGCCAGTGCCCACCAAAAACTTCCTGCTGTCTTCAGTGAGCTCCAGAGCAGGCTCTGAGCTGACCCCTGTGCGAAGGGGATGAGTTTTCCTCTCCAGACACAAAGGAAATGATACTTTCACAGGGTTACATGATTGAGCCCACCTTGTCTTTACCCAAACACACCACACCCCAGAGGAAGGTGGCAGTCTTGTTACTTACACTGGGAGTAAGTGGTCCCGGTCCCACTGACACTGAACCTGTTGAGGTGGAGCCTGTGAGTGACCACGTTCTTCTGGGGCTGGAAAAGGATGATGTGCACTTTGGGTGCAAACAAGCAGCCCAGCACAACAAAGCCACTGAGACTCACGGAGATGCACATGGTGGTGGTTTGCACCTAGGAGAGAGTGGGCACAAAGCACTGGGTTTCAGTATGGAAAGCTCTGAAATGCCAAATATTAGAAACGTTACTACATAACAGCATGAACCACAGTCCTGGGGGTTTGCAATGGTGCAGGCTGGTGTGAACCTCTGCTGCATCCTTATCATCCACAATCCCAGTATCATGGGAATGAGGTGCTGGTGGTGCTCTGTGTCTCTGCATGTCAGGGATCTGTCATTTATTGTGCTCTCCCTCATTTTAGTACAGAAAGGATAGATCTGCTCTCTTTCTCTCCTGCCCTTGATCTCTAACTTGATGAGAGAGCCCTCTGTAGTGCTTGTCATGCAATATCTGAGCAATGCTGGCTGCAGTGGGAACCAGCTCACCCAGTGTACATTATGTGGGTTTACATCAGTTGTCTCATGCAAAGCATCTACCTGAAAATCAGTTTAGTCTCTAGTTCTAGTCCTAATCAGACAACTCAAGTTGCAGAAATACAGATGTGATTTGGAGTAAAGATAATATCTGATGACTGTTTTTAGACTGGGGGTCTGAAAGGCGTCCTGATTTTGAGACATAACTTTTTGGGCTCAGAAATGAATTGTTTGTAAGGCTGCAAGATTTTAGAATAGTTGCCTTGGGGCATTTGTCAGTGTAGCTTTCCTGGCTATCTTTTATCCTTTTTATTCAATAGTATAACTAGCTGCCAGTTTACTGCCTCATTTTCTGTTTATATCCTTTTCTTCCAAGTAAATTCCTTAATTAAGATGTTGAATTAAACTGCTTTAAACTCTATTGCTTAATTTGAATGATTATACATCTATGGCTCATTTTTCCTTAGTTAGACTCCTGCAGTCCTTTTACATTAGCCTTCTTCCATGGGAATGCTTCTCATATCTCCTTGTCAGAAATAATTGGTGCAAATCGGAAAATAGGGTAGGGAATGTACATTGTTGCTTTACATATACACTAGCACAATTGGTGTTTTATCATCAATGAGGATAATTAATGTGGTCATTTAATAATTGCTCTTTGCACATCGTGGATGTTTCAAGCACCATGGAATGTGTTCAGCTTTCATTGGGTGAGTGAACATGGAAGATCCAACAGAGCCTGCATGATAAAGGAATGGCTTAGCTTCACATTCTCCTTCACCTCTCTGCATTTTCTCCACAGACCTATGCTGTCAGGTGGACATTGAACTGCATTCTGTATGGGTAAGAAAAGAAAGGAGTTTCTCATAAAACAAGAGTAAATGAAGCTACCTTTATTTTCTTTAGTTTCAAGTTACGTTTTTTTCACTATCAAAGCCCTCTTTCCCCACCCTGCTTTTCCTAGTGTTTGTGCTGCCTGGAGCAGCTCAGCTGTGCTGACATAATTATACACTCAATCAATTAAATGATTTGGGTTAAAAATAGCTCCATCCCACAGGGTTCCTTTTAATTCAGGTCACTCCAGTGGTTCAGTGTGTAACCTGGCCTCACAGACTGGACTGGTGTGCTGGAAGAGTGGAGGAAATCCCACTAGACCATGTGTTATGCACATGGAGAACAGGGATGTGTTTTGGGACAACCAGCACAGCTTCACCAAGGGCTACAGATGTAATTTATCTGGAATTCTGTAAAGCCTTTGATAGGTGCCTCCCAGCACCATTCCCTCTAAACTGGAGAGGTATGGATTTGATGGGTGGGCTGTTAGATGAATAAGATATTGGTTGGTTGGTCATCCAGAGAACAATGGCTTGGAGTCCTGATGGGCATCAGTGACAAGTGGTGTCTTTCAGGTGTCCATATTTAGACCAGTCTTATGCTATATCATAAATTACATAGATGAAGGGATCAAGCATATCCTCACCAAATTTGCAGATAACTCCAGGCTGTGTGGGGCTGTTTCTAAGGCTGTTTATTGTGATGCTACCAGACTAGGGCTACATTAGGATGGCACAAGTTGATTCAGAGTCAACATGTGACATGGAAATTAAATATGGGCTTTTCAAAGGAACCCCAGAAGTGTAGACTTGTCATGAAAGTACCAAAAAGATGTTAAAAGCATTTTCTGCTCTTTTTGTAGTACTTAAGTTGGTTTATTTGGAACCTTGTATATAAATTCAATGCCTACAAGTGGTTTTGAAAACTCCACTCAAGAGATAAGGCTGTAAAATTCTGCTTGAACAATCAAGTCATGCTCCTCTTGGCCATTACTCTCTGTACTGCCCACTCATGTGACTGTCTGCACTGATATTTCCCTCCTCCTGTGTCTGTCTTCCTGATTGCTTTGGGTGTCCAGAGCTGTTCCCTAGTGCCTTCCTTAAACTTTTCCTTCATTAGCTTCAATCCATTACTTGCTATTCTAACTTCTCCTGAGACTGAATAATCCCTTCCTCTCGTTTTGTTGCCTTGAAATTATTTATGGTCTGTGATCACGTCTCCCTGGGTTTACTCTTGTCTAGACTAAATATATTTAGCTCTTTTACTGTCACTCTGCATGTCTCACTGCGTCATTTGTTACTTATCCTTGTTTTCTAGAGGTTTTCAGTACATTTCAGTACGTTTCCAGATGAGTAAAATAGTACTAAATATATTGTTCCAGGGTGGCCACACTAAAAATATGTTAAGTGACATTATTAACTCCACAGTTTTATATGCTGTTTCATGTACACACTATTGGCAATAACATCCCCCTAAGGTAATCTACCTTTCTTCTGGGCAGAAAGTTGAACTAATTCTCTGCAAACTGCTGCAAGGGCTAATTCCCACAGTCACTTCTCACATCGTAATAACTGTGAGATTTCCAGTGGAGCAGATCTGAATCTTTTTTCTGAGACAATTTCCTTCTGTTCAAAAATATGATTTTATTGAACTTGAAGCTTTGCAACACTATCTGACAATTTAAACAGTTTAGTGTTTCTAAAGTTTGCTAGTGAAGGCTGACCAATACTTGCTTCTCAGTGATGTATGTGTTTTATAAAGTGCAGAAAGAATAAAAAGTTCTGTACTTAAATAGAATGTTTGTTGAACTTTTTTTAAACATCCCTGTTTCATAAGAAATTTTGAAATTTAATCCTTATATTTTTTATTTGAAGGAAATACCATGTTTTAATAGCAGATTCTTTTGCAGAGGAGACTGGTTAGTACAGATTTTCTTTTAAGCTCAATTTCTGTCAAATAACTTATTGTGACTACTTTTAGGTAATTTACTGGGTTTTTCTGTTAGGACTGTGACTTCAGATAGTGATGAACCCAAATGAATACTTAATCCATATGTTATGCCTCTATTGCAACCAGACTAACAGTATTAATCCCTTCTAGCTCTGACTGCACATACTAATCTTGAAATTATAGTATGGTGAGCCAAAATCTGGTAACGTTGAAAGAGAACTTGTTTGCATGGGACCCAGGGGACAAAAGAAGTGAAACAAAGCCTTAGTGAATGCTGACATGGCCTCTAAAGTGCTGCATATGATTTATGGAAACAGATGTCCAAAGACTTACTCTGTAGTCACTGGATGTCACATAAAATATAGGGAGAAAGGCCAGCCAAATGATGCATGTTGTGTACATTGTGAAACCGATAAACTTGGCTTCGTTGAAGTTCTCTGGACATTTCCTGGTTTTGAAGGCATACACAGTGCATAAAACCACGAGGATGACATCATATGTTAAGGACATTAACATACTGGAATCTTTGACATTGCATTTCAGGATGACAGTCTCTCTCTTCTCGGGAAGCGTGTATCGCCTGGTGCCCGGCGCCTCCAGAATCAGCCACACGGACACCACCACCACCTGTACCAAAATGAGACTCAGACAGATGAACACCTGAGAGCTGGGGCTGATGAACTTGGGCCTCTGAGCACCGTTCTTCACGCCATCAAATATTCTGGCGATGCAGTTCGTTTTTGTCAGGAGGGCAGAGTAGCAGACGGCAAAGGAACTTCCCAGCCCCAAACGGCGGAGGGTGCAGATGGCTGGAGAAGGCTTGGCTATGAAGAAGAAAGTCATGCTGTAAGACAGAAAGACCCCAAAGAGCAAAATGTAGCACAGTTCACGGCCAGAAGCTTTGACCAGGGGTGTGTTGTTGTGCTTGATGAACACTCCAATGACCATGAAAGTGCAAATAAAGCCCAGGCATGCGATGGTAACAGGACCTATTGCCCAAGCATCTTCCCACTTGATGTAGTCTTCTGGTAGGTCATAGCAGCCAGTCAGGTCAGCTGTGGGCCATTTTCCAGGCCCACAGTCTGCACAAGTGAATTCATCAGCCAGGTACTCATAGGTTTCGCAAGGAATACAAATCCAACAGCAGACATCTCCTGGCTGCATATTCTTCATCTCATTAGGAGCACAGGGGTCGCTGCACTGGGAGACAGGGACAGAGCTCCTGGACCAGTGGATGGAGTCTACCTCCAGCGACAAAGTTTCTGCCCACTGACCAACCTTCACGTAGGAGTATCTGTCTCCAGTGAACTGGAAATTGAACACGTTGTATCTTCCTATCCCATCTCCATAGGCGTCGAATTTGACCATACTGTCTGCATCATTCGGAGGGTTGAATGGAGCTGTGAGGAAAAACAAAAAAAATAAAGAAAGAGAGAAATGTTATTACCAAAGCTACAGACGAAACTTTTTCCATCTCTTTGGCAAGCACAGGCACCTGACAGCTTGTAGAATACAATTCAGTTGTCAACAGGTAAGTCAAGAGGTTTGTGTCTGTCTCAGTTTTGAACTTGGAAGAAGAGCTCAGATAATGGAACTCTGTTTCACTTTACATTTATAAATCTAAGGTGACAAATGTCCTCACTTTGTTTTGTCTTGGATACAGATCAGTTCTCTAATTATTTCTACCAGTATCCATCACTGCTGTCTCTCACATTTTCACTTGCAAGAAAGAGGTCTGCTTCTGAGTCTCAGCATTATTTGGTGAAACTTGGCTGCCATGATATAAGAAAAATTAAATGGTCAGGTCTTTAAATGACAGTTTTGATGCCAACAGTCTGGAATGCAGTTGAATAGAGGATTCATTTTAGGATGATGGAGAAATAACTGTGAAATCTTCAACAATTTCTTACTACGTCTTTTTCTCTTCTCCCTGTGTTGTAGGAAGTTTTAAGTCCTTTCTATCTTGCTTCAGTTTTATCAGTTTCTGATATTTCTTGTATGGCCTGAGCTCCCCAGCATGTGCTGCTTTGGTCATGTATCTTGTTGGGGGAACAGATGACAAAACCACAAGCTGGATCTGGGACCTTCTGTGCAATCAATATTGTAACACTTCTAACTGGTAAGCTCTGCAGAGTTTTGTTTTTCCTCCAGCTGAGGCTTACCCAGGGAATGAAGACATATTAAAAATCTGTGAGGAAATTGCATTTACCCTGTGATTTATTGATCATTTGCTGTAGCATCAAAGGTAAAAAGCTTTACAGGCAGGAAGCAAAAGGACTTTTTTGCCATTGATAAACAATAAAGGTGGTTTTATTTCCCAGTGTCTTTGGCCACAGAAGTAGTTCCACTGTCATTGCTGGAATAAATCTCTTTCCCTGCTTTTGTGTCCATACTGTGCTTGAGCTTGAGCAACATAAGGGTGTAATGCCTTCCTCCACTTCAATCTCCAGATACTTTGGCTTTCTTGTGGTAGATTTATTTAGATTCTTTGAAACACTGAGACCAACTTCTTTCACGTTTATTCCTGCAGAGCATTACCTTATTTTGCAGTACTCTGGCTAAGGTCAGTAAAGGGACACTTGGTTTTGGACAGAAGCCCCAGCTGGAGGGTTGAAATTGTGATCTGCACATCCCCAGGTGCTACACTTGGAGGGATTTTTTCCCCAACTTTCTGCTTATTGTAGGGCAAAGTTAGAATTTAATTTACAGCCACCTACACTCTCTTCTGAGTCAAGATTCTACTTGTTCTCATCCCTGCCCTCTCCTGCTCCTTCCCACCTCAGCTGTGCCAGCCACAGTGGTGGACAGCCTTGGTTTGCAGGATTACAGAATCATGGAATTGCAGAATAATTCAGGTAGGAAGGGACCTCCCTCTGATCCAAACCCCCTGCTCAAGCATGGCCATCCCAGAGCACATGGCACAGGATTCATCCAGACAGTTCTGGAATATCTCCAGTAAGGGAGGCTCCACACCCAGTCAGGCAACCTGTGCCAGTGCTTGGGCACTGCACACAAAAGGAGTTCCCTCTCCTGTTCACGTGTTTCAGTTCCTGTCTTTGCCTCTGTCTTGCTGCCATTGAGAAGAGCCTGGCTCCCTTCAGACACCCACACACACTGATGAGGTCCCCTCTCAGCTGTGTCTTCTAAAGGCTGTCCCTCAGCCTTTCCCCATAAAACAGATGATGCAGTACCCTTATCATCTTTATACCCCTCTGCTGGACTTGCCCCAGGAGCTCCATGTCTTCCTTGTACTGTACAAATTAGGACTGGGTAGCCTAGGAATCTGTAAAAAGTTATTTTATCTTTTTTTTTTTTTTTTTTTTTTTTTTTGTCACTGTTGGCATCTAGTTTTAACACTCTGTAGTCCAACAAGACCTTGGAGAGCACAAAAATTAAGAGCAGCATAATCTTCCCCCAGGTGGCTAGTCCTGCTGGAAGTGACATGCTCTAAATTAAAATGGTAGATAAATTCAAAATATAGATCAACAAGAAGAATATGAAGCAGCTTTCCTCCTCTACCTCCTCCTCATGCACAGGCATGCAAGCTCCCTCATCCAGGAGCAGCATTAAAACAAAAACATAATGCAGCACTTAACAGCTCCTCAATAATGTGCTGTCATTGCCAGTGTCTTATTTCATTATTCATAACACTTATATAGATTGTAGAAGCTGTTAACACAGCAGCCCAGCTTTAAGAGCCAGTTTATTCACTTCAGTGTTATCCAGGCCAGCTCCTGAGGTGGGCTGAGAGCCTGTGACTGCTGCTGGAACCAGGGGAGCTGCAGGTCAGGAAGACAAAGTGCAAACTGCTTCTTTGACATCTCTTGTCAAGTGCATAACTTGAAGGCCACAAGCATCCCAGAGCAAGTAACCTGAGGGTCTGAAACACCAGCACTTTTCAGGAAAGTATTCCTTCTCTGAGATAATATTTGTCACTTAAATAGAGAAAGGTATTTTCCTTAGATTTTGCAGGTAGGTTCAGAAGGCAAAGCAGGTAATCTCACACAGAGTAAGTTTGAAGCTCAAATATAATTGCCTTCCATAAGGCTGTTCCCACGCTAAAAGAAACAAAAGATTTTTGTAGGACAACATGTTCTAAGTTAACCAAAGCTTGCAGCTTGAAACATTCATTTTTAATGGCTGCTGATAGAGGAAAATAAATCACCCTCTTTTAGATGGAAAGGATGAAATCATTTAACCAAACAATGATGTATTAAATTATAGTATGGTGAGCCAAAGCCTACAAATGAGCCCACTGGGTGGCAGCAATTAATATACCCACTGATTACATATAAAATCACTAAGGCATTTTAACGTTTCATTTATCAACACCTTCTAGATCCTGTAGGACCACTTCCAAAAAGTAATGTTTTCACAAAATATGATGTAATAATAATCATAAAATTAAAATGCTTATAAGCAAGAAAGGTGCTTATCACAAGAAGGCAGGATCTTATGTTTTAGAGTGAAAATAACAGTTTTTGCAAATTGGTTTTCCCAGAGATGATGTCAGGCTGTCATAAATCACTCTGCAAATTCTTTTATATATCACAGTTTTTAGAGAAAACCTACAATTTTTATAGCAGGTATTTCTGGCAGGTCTATTTCAGAGTTGCAACTCGGCTCTTTTACATTCATCCCTTGGGAGAGGACAGACAAGAGTCCCTGGATCTCATCAGCTGCTAGCTAAGAGGCTGAGTGACAATATGAACTTTGCCTCCTTTGAGCCTTTGAATCTTCTCCTTCCCTTGTACTTCAAGAAATGAGTTAGTCCTGTGTAAAGCAGTTATACAAGAGGAATTTTGTAGAAGAAGTTACCAAGGAAAATAAAGGATAACTGAAAAAGACCTAAAGCAGTGATGCTTTGTGTTCCAGCTTGCAGCATTTCAGCAATGAAGATGCAGCAGCGGTGACATTTATAAGAGCAGGAGGGCAGCAGGCAGAAATCTTTGGAGCCCCAAAGATGCAGGCAGCTCAACTCTGTCTGCTCCCTGGAGAAATCCTACTGGAGGAGAGCATTCCATTGTGCAAGTGGAGGACAAACTCCTTCAGCTTCAGATAAGAGAGGAATAATTGCAGATTTATGACTGTTTTAGTAGCAAATACATAAGATAAGAACATAAAATAACATCATAGCTGTTATGTAGTGAATTATGTCATTTGTTTCCATCTTCCTAAGTAGGATCAATTTTTCCAACAGTCACATAACTTGCAAAAATGTGCTTATCTGCTGTTGGAAGCAGGTGAGTTGCTTTTATTTAGAAATCTTTAATATTTTTGGTGTCAGTGTTGTACAGCTCTTGATGACATGAAAAATTTCAGAAAGAAATTTCTGAAGGGGAGATTTATTTTATCTTTGGGCAAAACCTTTATTTGAAGAGGCAGCTTGAGAAATATATTTAAATACTTCTAATTCTGCACAATGCCTCGGTTGAGTGAAAAACACTCCGGGATTTTTTAACAAGGAATGAATAGATGAGGAAAACAAAGCAGTTTTCATCCTAATTAGGCACTGGAAATCTTTTAAGAGGCTGAGCAGCCTAGGGAAAGATGTGTGTCATCTTAACTGGCTTGGAATCAGGCTGGGTTTTGTTTGTCAGCAACATCTTTGGGCCAGGAAGGATATTTTGCACAGTCTCTCATGTGTCTGGCACAGATTTGAGTGTGTAGATGTTGTCCTGTAAAAAATATCCTCAGTAACACTTCCTGGTAGGAATGACAGAGGATACCCCTACATCTAAGAACATTTTTCATGTCCACTGAAACATGCCTCTCTTCTTTGTTTGCAGAGTGCATTCTTTCTAAACAAGGCACAGATCACAGAGGCACAGCTCACTAGCTAGGAGGCAATTCATCAACAGCAAGGCTTGATGAAAGCACTGCATTTTTTCAGCTTGGCAGTTGGGAGATTTCAGTTGGTTCAGAAAGAGGTGTAAAAAGGGCTATTGGGTACACCGAAGGTACCTTCTTCCACAGCTTGTCTGCCCCAAAGACTATGAGGAGATCCTGATTAAATAGAAATGGAAGAGTAAAGAAAGAACAGGCTACAGTTTCTGAAAAGTTCAGTAAAACCTCCTTAGTCTCACTAGGTGGTGCTGCAAAAACTCCAAACTCCTGATTTAAGGCTGAAAAATAAGAAATTTTTTATGTAACAGAAAAATATTTTTCAATCCCCCCCTTACTCTTCCTGTTACATATCCAGGGCAATGCCTTTTAAAAACATTTTAATGGAGAGCCTAGATAATAATATAACAGGATGTTGTGTTTGTCCAACAGGCTCATCTGTGTGTGTGATGCCTTATCTTGAAAAGTATCAGAAAAGACCCTGAGAATGCACATTTCTTTTCATTCTCTTTTATTTTTAGCTCGATATGGCTTGTGGAGGTCAAAATGACTTATT